CTGCACCAACCGGTTCGGACCATCCAGCTTACCACCAGATCCACCAGCAACAACAGCAGCAGCTAACTCAACAGCTTCAATCATTCTGGGAGACTCAATTCAAAGAGATTGAGAAAACCACTGATTTCAAGAACCATAGCCTTCCATTGGCGAGAATCAAGAAGATCATGAAAGCTGATGAAGATGTGCGTATGATCTCCGCCGAGGCGCCTGTTGTGTTTGCTAGGGCTTGTGAGATGTTCATTTTGGAGCTAACGTTAAGGTCTTGGAACCACACTGAGGAGAACAAGAGGAGGACGTTGCAGAAGAATGATATCGCGGCTGCTGTGACTAGAACTGATATCTTTGATTTCCTTGTGGATATTGTTCCGCGGGAGGATCTTCGTGATGAAGTCTTGGGTGGTGTTAGTGCTGAAGCTGCTACAGCTGCAGGTTATCCGTATGGATACTTGCCTCCTGGAACAGCTCCAATTGGGAATCCGGGAATGGTTATGGGTAACCCCGGTGCATATCCGCCTAACCCGTATATGGGTCAACCAATGTGGCAACAACAAGGACCTGAGCAACAGGATCCTGAGAATTAGCTTTGCCTAATAAACTGTGAGTTCTTGTTTTAACTTTGTTCCTTTTAAGTTTCATGGACACCAAAGTTGATTACATTCTTGTTGTTTGTTCTCCGCAGAGTCTTCTAATTCAAACATATTCCCGGTGGGTCTACTCAAGAAGAAGAATGTTAATAGAAAACTGTCAGACATAAAAGTTTGGAGTAGTTGAATAAGTTATGTTTTATGATCCATGGATATATCTATTGTTATTCAGTTTGGTTTATTTTGTTAAATCTGTTTTCATTCAGTTTAACGATTTCATAAATTCATGATATAATCAGAAACTACAAACTTAGAATTGAACTTACAAAAGGCTGGATCATCGCTTAAAGTTCAAAGCTAGATAGTTATCGTAAAACGAGTCATTAGCAAATGATTTGGTTCAGCTTAGCTTGAGTTTACTAGTACTTTTGCTACCTATAACCAAAACCAAAAACCGCCGATTCCTATAACTACTTTGATTACACAGTTTGTTTCTGCAAGTTTTTCATTACGATTCCTTCAAGAATCCCATCCTCTCCAAAGTTGCCAGAAAACTCCTGCGGATGGACAGGACCCGGGAGGCGAAACGAGACAGAAAAGTGACCGGGCGGGCAGAGATTCCGCGTTTGCATTTCAAACACCTGAGAATACCGTTGAACTCGCTTCCCGCCTGTTGTAGTGACTCCTCTAACTAGTACCTTCCCATTGTCTTCTACTTCACAGCTAAAATCTCCTGCAATATCTCACACACATCAGATCAAGAAACTGGTTTAGTGGAATGAGATATTTTAAAGATGAAGCAAAAAGTCACTCACTTTCATCTCTGTTCACACCGGGAAGCGATACACGGAATAGATAAGCATCATCGCATTCACCAATGTCCATCAGTCCCACCATTAGTCCACCCTGAGCTTCAGATATCGCCTCAGGTTTTGCACCAACATCACTTTCTTCACCGTTAGTACAAGTACCCGCATTATCATTACCAGCACATGTAATAGGCACTTCTAAACACGGTTCCACGCCCTCATCAATCTCATCCTTAACCTCACTAACTGCAACACCATTAGCTTCAGTTATATCAACACTAAGGCTCAAAGCAAAGCTATCCAATCCCGTAAGCCGCTTAAACCGCGCAACACATTCTTCTCTCATACAAGAAGTATCTGGATCATTAATGAACACAATACTCCTGATAAACTTAAACTTATGGCTAACATGGGTTTCAGGGTGCAGTTTTCGCGGAAAAAGATCCGCGAAAAAAGGGTAATCCCTATTCGAAACATTGCGTTTCCCATTGAAGTATTCACGTAACTTTTTCGACTTCATGATTAGAGACGGATCAACATTTCTGAGAATGTGATAATACACACGTTCTAGCTCAGCTCTCTTCATGAGTGAGCCACTTAACTCATCTACCACGACATTCTTTGAAGCTTGAATCTGAAATGCTGATTGCTTGGGACGATGATGCTTTCTTAAATCTGGTCCAAAGTAAGTTCCTATGATGAAATGAAAGAGAAACAACTTGTCTTCTTCAATGTCTAATGAAATTAACACATTCTCTTCTTGTTCTTGAGAGTTCTCAGGCATTGTATCACTCATATCCTAAAAACACAAAACAAAATCAAAAGGTTGATTCTTTATGAGTGTTTATTCAAAAAGATTGAACCTTTAATATAAAAAAATTGATAATCTTGAACATGCAACAAGAAATTATAACGAAATTGGATCAAAATTGGACACATTTGGTATCGAAATGGGTGAAACAATCATTGGAAAAAACGTTACTTTGTTAGGAGATTATAGAAATTGAGACTATAGAAACAGAATTTGTAAATAAATAAGCTAAAATTGAGATCAAATTGTTACTAACCAGAAGTGTAATTTAGGGTTCTACTTAGTGAATTTCGTTGTCTCTCATCAGAGAAACAGAAAGCGACTTAAGAAAACGCTAGAGACATTGCAAGAAAAGGGTAAAATGGGGAATTTTATCTAAACGACGATGATTGGATCACGTGCCGCTTGTACAAAAGTGTACACAACACCTGATCACTCCCCTTTTTTGGTTCTTCTTAAAGAAAATTAAAGAGAAAAAAAAACAAAAAAAAACAACAAAAGCTTCTCGGAGATTTTTTGCCGGCGACTTCTGAGATATCTCCGATGAGGTAAAATAATTAAATTTTCTTTAAAAAGTTCTTCATTTTTGTTTCTGCTCTTCCTCTTATATAACCCAAATGTGTGTATTTTGGGTTGATTCTGTGAAAGATTTCAAATTTCTTTATGGGTTTTGTCCATTTTCACTGATTGAAATTAGGTTATTTTTTGGCTAAAAGTCTTAAACTTTGATGAAATACTTGTGTGCCAAACTTATATTCAGATTCAAAACTTAAACTTTAGTCTAAGAAAGTATGATTTTCTGGGTATAATCTTCATTTCTTGGATAAACCCTCGTTTACAAAAGTTTACAACATTGTTGTGTAGACTTTTTCGATAACTGAAAACAGGACAAATTGATGAATGTTGCCTCTTCGTTGGTCTAATTTGTGGTCATGAAAGAATAAAAAGGTTTCATTTTTATGAATATTCGCAAGCATTGGGATAGTGGTTATAGATCCCAAGACTTAACTTGCTTATTGGATCTTAACCATTGCTCTCTTACTGATTCTAGAATCTAGCTACCTCTTAGTTTGGTTCTATAGCCTTATAATGTTTCAAGATTAAGCCTTTTTAGTCAATTATAGCTGCTGCTGTTTTAAAAGAATTGTTGTAGTTTGGTGAGTGACTATGTTATATAGCGGAATCTGAGTCAAGTGTATGATAAAAAGGAATTGTTGTGCTTCAGGTCTTCAAGTGGTCAAAATGGGATGAGAGAGAACATGAGTTTTTCGGATAACACAAGGAACCCACAAATTCTTGAAGTGACTCCGTTGAACAGTTTGCCTTACATCGGTCCAGTAACTCATGCATCTATGTCGAGTGGTAGGATGAATGAGAATGTAGAGAAAGTAGGAGGGCCAGCGATGATATTTCTGCCTTCTGAATCAAGTTCAGAGTTTTCTAACCTTATCAGTCAAACGAAAACCGGAGTTGCCCTCACGGGAAGTGCAGCCATGGGGAAGATTGGACCAACGATTGGTTTGGTTGATATTGCTGAATGTGAAGACTCATACTACTTTCGTGTTTCATTGCCTGGCGTGTCAAGGGATGAGAGTAAGTCTTAACACCTTTCCAAATCTTTGTGAAGTTTCTAGTTGACATGCTAAATTATTGTTTCTAGAATGCTAGTTCAAACGTTGTTAAAGATATTAGTTCATTCAGAGCAAAGATTATTTTCACGGAGCTAAAGAATACATAGATTTGAGAAGTTCCAGGGTATTATAATCATGTTTACTCGATTATTTTCTTTGAACACGGCTTATATGCGTTTATGAGAGATGCTTCAAACTTTGTGCTTTTACTTGTATTCTACTGAAGCTGACATGTTAAACATGCAGAGGACTTCAGCTGCGAAATAGAACCAGACGGAAGGATTCTAATAAAGGGAGCAACAACGACGGGGGAACAGACAGTTTGCAAACACAATCAGATCTTCAAAATGCTAACACAGAACTTATGCCCACCAGGCCACTTCACCATCAACTTTCAGCTTCCGGGTCCTGTGAGCAATGAAGAATTCAACGGTAATTTTGGGTCAGATGGTGTACTTGAGGGCGTAGTGAAGAAGCTGTACTACGAAGATTGAACAATGGATATGGATTTGTTGAGTTTTAAAAGTAAGCTAGAATCAATGCAGCTTATGTAGGATTTTTTTTTGGTTGTAAGCTACATTGCCATCAGAAAGATTGTTGATTAGTTTATGTTGCTTTGTAAAAGCTTAAGTATTTGATACTTAATAATTACTATTCCTTGTTAAAAAAAAGTGGAGAAAACTTAAGGCTCGTATGGTTGTACCAGATTAGTTGCCTTGCGGACAAAATAGTTGGAGTTTGAAGTGAAAGTTAACAAGTAAAGAAACAACATTTAGTTCACAAAACAGATTAACAAAGCAATGAAAGTAAGAATGTCTCGACAATTTAACTAAAAGTTTATATAAATGCATAAACGAAGCCCATTCACAGAAGCCCAATTACATCACATGCTTTACACCAAAAGGTTGTACCGTATGATCAAGAAATCAACTTCAAAAGAATTTTCTCTTGTATTAAAAATGTATTTGATTATGTATATATTCATAGACATCTCGTAACTATTCAAATTCGATTATGAACAGTTGAACACAGTTTCATATCCCTAGAGAATTGAAACATAGTAAAGTATAACTTAAAACTTAAATTCACTCCCCAAACCATAATCACTTTTTTTTTTTTTAATGAACAACTTCGTCTACGACCCACACTAACTTTTGTTAGATACTTTTTAATTTGCTAATTACGATGGGTTTTTTTTTCTTTTTCTTTTGACAATATATCCGTTAAAAACAAAGCATAAAAGATACAAGAGTCTTCACACAAAACACAACAATCACTAGCTCAGAAGAGCACAAGGCAACTAAACAACAACCCCATTAGCCCTAAACCAGCCATCACTCTCACAGACGTCGCCTCACCAGCAGCAACACCAGCAGTAAAGCTTCCACCTGGAGTGCTTGTTGTCAACACAACCACCATCCATTCTTTCTCCGATCCAACACCGGCCCCGACATACCTCGAATCATTTAGATACCGAGCATAACCAGTTTGGGTGTAATTAGTTAAAGCCAAAGTAGGGATCCGGTTAGGGATACAGACCGGTAAGATCAACGCATCACGAGTAGTGTTCGGATCAATTTTGCACTCAGAGAGAATGTCTTGGTAGTTTGTTAACCGTGGAGGGACCGAGCCAGGAGTAACCGTGCTGGCTGTGGTATGGTTTGTGCATGGCTGATCTTCCAACTTGTCGGCGATCTCATCCGCCACACAATCAGCCTTTTCGTTCTTTGCAAAAGGAGGAACTCTTTGAGCAGTTCGGTAGCTGTTTAGACCTTGAAGAAGATTATCCTCCGCCTCTACAACATTTCAAACACAACAAAAATGATCTATTAATGAGAAAAGTTCTATCAATACGATTTAAATGAACATGCATGGGGATGAAATTGTAAACTCCAATATAATAAGCTTAAAACTAATTAGTAACGACCCGAATAAATGTTAAATAACATTTATTTCTTTACAAAACATCATCTTTTAATCTCCAAACACGCATTACGTATGTGAATATTTATTTGAAGTACGAGTTTATACAAAAAACATAATGTAATAACACTAAGAGAGAGAGGTTAAGAGGGCTTACGGTTGCAGATAACACAAGTGGGAATCAAGGAGAAAATGAGAAGATGAATGATGTAGAAAGAGAGAGACATCTTCGTAATCAAGACCATTTCTCTTCACACAATTTGATTTTCTTATTCTTATTTCTCTGGTAATAAAAGCAGAAGTAAGAGATCAGGCTAAGGCAAAGAGAATGTAATTTTGTTAGTCCTGTACTCTATTTGTTTATAGTATCTTAAAGGTCTAGAATTAGCTTTTTCTTGATAAGAATTTTGGAAAAGTGACAAACACTTGGCAGAGAGGAGGTTTCGTTTTGCCAAAAGACGACGTGTATTAATGAACATCCTCGTCACGTGTCATGCATGCACAAGAACAAAGTCGATTTCACAAAAATATATAACTAAAGGTACAATTATCCAAGTATAGTCGAGATAATAAATCTTCCTAACGAAGAAATTTGTTAGTGTGTGAAGGAGACACTGTTTTTGTCCATGTCACACGGATCACCACAAATCTGGCCCCATTCACCAACACGTGTGTCCTCCTCCGGCCACGTAATGTTCCTCAACCTGCCACATGTCAAATCCTATGTTGAGATATATTGCTACTTCCATGTAGCATGTCGTATATATGGCCATGAATGTGCTGTGCCGAGTGTTCACTTCGTCAAGAGTCTTATCATCAAACTTTACGTTTTCGTTTTCTCAAATTCCAAACAAAACCAAGAAAACTCTACCTGAAAAGAGAAGATTATCGCAGCTTGTGTGCGTAAGAGCGATGGCGACTGAGAAACAAAAACAACATGGACAACCTGCAAAGAACATGTCATGGAAAAAACTCCACAATTCTCTAGCTCAGATTACCAACCCTCCAACAAGCTTCGTGTAAATATTTTTATAACCTATAGTTTGATGAGGTCAAACTAAATATTACATATTCGCAAATCTTTACTGCCATGTTCATTTTTCGAGTTATTATATGCATATCACTATATATTTGATACGTTGATACATGTTTGATCTTGATATATATTCAGTAGTTTAGCTAGATGATTTTTTATATAACAAATGAATGTGCAATCAGGGAAAAGTGGCGTTGATAACTGGTGGAGACTCGGGGATTGGTCGAGCCGTGGGATACTGTTTTGCACTCGAAGGGGCTACGGTGGCTTTCACTTACGTTAAGGGGCAAGAGGAAAAAGATGCACATGAGACGCTACAAATGTTGAAAAAGGTAAAAACCTCGGACGCTAAAGAGCCCATTGCGATTCCAACGGATTTAGGATTTGATGAGAACTGCAAGAGGGTTGTTGATGAGGTCGTTAACGCGTTTGGTCGCATCGATGTCTTGATCAATAACGCAGCAGAGCAGTATGAAAGCAGCTCTGTCGAGGAGATTGATGAGCCTAGACTTGAGCGAGTCTTCCGTACAAACATCTTCTCTTACTTTTTCCTCACAAGGTAGCACGTGTGTGAGTTATTGTTTTGCATAAAGTCACACACACGTGTGATGGTAATTGATATTTTTTTAATTGTTAGGCATGCGTTGAAGCATATGAAGGAAGGAAGCAGCATTATCAACACCACATCAGTGAATGCCTACAAGGGAAACGCTTCGCTTCTCGACTATACAGCTACAAAAGGAGCGATTGTGGCGTTTACTCGAGGGCTTGCACTTCAGCTTGCGGAGAAAGGAATCCGAGTCAATGGTGTGGCTCCTGGTCCGATATGGACACCACTTATCCCAGCCTCGTTCAATGAGGAGAAAATCAAGAATTTCGGGTCTGAGGTTCCGATGAAACGTGCGGGGCAGCCGATTGAAGTGGCGCCTTCGTATGTTTTCTTGGCTTGTAACCATTGCTCTTCCTACTTTACTGGTCAAGTTCTTCACCCCAATGGTAACTCCAGACACATATTTATATATTTAGGTATGATGGTGAGGCAAATGGCGAACTTGGTTTCAACTTTTTTTTTTTTTTGGTGTTTTTGTTTGTGAAGGAGGAGCTGTGGTGAATGCGTAACCGTTGAGTGGACAAGGCCCGTCTTAAAACGTCTAGGGTCTTAAATATGGTGTGATGTCGTTGTGGGTTTAGGGGCTTTTTGTTAAGTTATGTATATGTTGGTAATGTGTCAAGTCCGTACCTTTTCTAGTCTGAACTATGAAGTAGCAAAAATATGTTGAAATAAAGTATTTCCACATCGACACTACTTTGGACCTGTTTCCTCTATATAATGTAGAACCCTCCAATATATAAGAGCAACCCCAATGGTTTAGGATCCTTAGGAATTTTATATTATAATTTTTGACAAATATAAAGTTAAGGATTTGTTTAGGGACTCTTAAAAATATTCATATCCAATGGTATGGATCCTTAAGAGATCCTTAAGAAAAACAAAATTAAAAATAAAATTTAGTGTTTGGTGTTTGAGTTTTGATTGTTTGAAAACAAAGATAGAGAAGATAAAGTATACACGATTCAAACTAAAATACAAAACTTGCAACTCAAACTAAAATACAAAACCTGCAACTCATATTCAAGTTTGAAACTGAATGCAAACTCAATCAAAGATACGTAGAACAAGGATCATAAAAAACAGAACCAAACTAAAACAAAAGTCTGGACTGAGTACTCAGCATAAACTTCTGAAGAGTATTGCCTTCTATGAGTTCAGTTATTATCATCAACTTTGGTTCTATGCACGCCCCAATGAACTGTAATCAAAAGGATCTCATCAACTTTGGATCTCAACTACTAACAATACATTAGGAGACTACGAATGACGAACTACAGGATAAGGCTAACATATGAAAACAATCAAACATCAAAGGCTCCATATTACCTGCACATTGTTTTCATGTTGAAACTTGGAAAGCAGCAAAACCTTTCTTTGAAACTTCTTCTTCTGCTCAATGCTTACAGCAGATGTTTTTTAGGCTGGAATATCTTCACAGACACAGGGATAAATCTCATGAACCTATAATCATCGATAGACTAATGTTCTTTAACCCAAATGCAAATTCCAAGAATCAATAACAACTATGCCACACTCATTCAAACATTCTCATGGAGCACTTACTTCCGAAACTGCCGATGTCTGCCGATGTCGAGGAGGGAGGTATGTGACGATACAAGCTTTCGACAACTGCCGATGTCTACACGGGCTGCTGCTCCAATTACCATCACCACTTCCGAAACTTCGATTGATTCAATCGAACAAAGACCAGTGAGAACAGAAGCTAAGCAATTAAATTATATGTTGTGGTGAGAACAAAGACCAGTGAAAATCGCATCCAATTTCGCCATCACAGAAAACAATGCAGAGGGAGAGACGGGAAGAGGAAGACACGTCAGCGCCTCTTAACACCTCTTAATTAAGGTATGTTCCTTAGCTTTATTTTGAGTTTTGATTTAATTTTTGGCTTTTTTCTAAAGTTTTTAGGCTAAGAATCCCATTAGAAACATCATTGGGGTTGCTCTAAGCAAAGCGTAGTTAGAGACTCCAAATATCTAGTATGGTGACAACACAATGAATTAAATGTTACATTTATTTGATTTTCAAAATTACACTTGTCAGCGTTCAAAAGAGTAATATCGTACATCAAATGTTCTTTTTTTTTCAAAGAAGTATCATTTATATATCATACATCATTTAAAACTATCTCGTCATTTTGGAAACAATTTAGATTCTTCTATCACCCACAATAAAATAATGTTTGTCTTCCTGAGAAAGTAAACGTTTGCTCCCTTGATTATTTATATGAGATTCGGAAAATGTTAAAACATTACATCGACTCTCTTTTCTCTTCCTAAAATTTTGATGGAAAGATCCTGTCAGAATTACACAAATGATGGAAAGATCCGGAATTACACAAAAGGATATTAGAAATGTTATTCTGTTATTATGTGTTATTATTTTATTATTTTCTTTAGCGGCTATATATATATATATAACTAGAGTTTAACCCGCGGTGTACTGCGGGGCTATAAATTTTTTGAAAATTATCTATTGTTTTGTTTGATTTAAATGTACTTATTATATATATTACCCCGTATTAAACCCACGGGTCGATTTTTGATAACTAAAAATTGAAATTTTAAGTTGAATTTATTTTGTTAATATTGTTTATTTTGTTTAGCATTTATTATATTTTGATAGTTAATTCTACGATTTCACTCGTAGTACCGCCTCGTATTAATATTGATTCAAACCCGTCTTACCATATAACCCTGTCCCATGAAATTAAACATTATTTTGTTATTGTTTTTTATAATATTTTAATTTAAAAGACATATATAATTTGAGTCAATTTAAAAGTTTGCTTTAAATGGCTCCCATAATATATATATATATATAATTGTTATAGAGTTCAAATATCATTAATATTTTTAACTTTTTATAAAATTTTAATATTATAAATACTTTAAACGTTTTATCATCTTAAAATATTTACAATGTTTAAACTTCTTATAAATTCTTATAAAGTTTAAATATTTATAATATTTGAAATTTATAAAAGTTTTAATATCGACCCAAACTTCATAATTGTATTTTGGTTGTTAATTCTAAGATTTCACTCGTAGTATATCGTTCCGTATTAATATCGACACAAACCCGTCACACCATATAATCCCATCCCGTGAAATTAAACATCATGTTATTTTTTCTTTTAATAATAATTTTATTTAGAAGACATATAATTCGAGTAAATTTAAAAGTTTGCTTTTAAATTGTCTCTATAGTATATATATTTATAATTTTTATAGAGTTCAAATGTTATTAATATATAAACTTTTTTATAGAATTGAAATATTATAGATACTTTAAAAGTTTTATAAAATTTAAATATTTATAATATTTAAAATTCTAATAAAGTTAAAATATTCATAATATTTGAAACCTTATGAAATAATAATAATCTAAAATAACATATTATTCCATAGACATAAATAATATTTATATATTTGGTAATAATGTTTTTTTGGAGTTAATCTAATTTATAAGTAAACAAATTATTTATAGCCAAAATGAGTTTGGTTTATAATAAGTAATATAGCAAAATGAGTTTGTAAAATAACGAATAGTAACCATAATTTAATTAATGTACATTAAAATAAATATATTAAAAAAATGAATTACTTAAAAAAATTGATTTTGTCAAAATTAATTAATATCTTTAAGATATTATAGAAATGATTAGTTATGGTTAAGATATTATGTTAAGATTTTTTTGGTAATTAATATCTTTGATTTAAATTTTCGAAATTAAATAATTAATGCCAATGACATTCTTTGTAAATACTGCCCAACCCCAGAATTTATTTGCTAAAAGTGTTCCAAAAATGTATATATAGATATGTAGGGTACATTAACCCTAATCTTATGAGTTAAACCTAATTAAGCCCATATATAATAGTCAATGGTCCATGACCCATCTTATTTTTATTACCCCCTCAAATTAGAGTGGTTTATCAAAAACACTCAACTTACCAAGAAAAGAAATAAAAATTGAATTTGAAGCGCCTTTAACTGTTTTGATCCTCATGTCTTTTCAGCAGCGCATTCCGCAGCTCCTTGATCTTCACAAATCTTTGAATGCCTTCCACATCACTTTGATTTCACAACACTTTGAGCGGCTTTATGCAGCTCTGACAACCTGAACAACAGTCTGAGCGCCTTCCGCAGCTCTTTGACGACTTTAACAATGGTCTGAACACATTCCGTAGTTCTGCTGACCTAAACAACGGTCTGAGCGTCCCACAGCTCTGACCTTAACAACACTCTGAGCGCCTTCTGCAGCTCTGATAACTTCAACAACGGTCTGAGCATCTTCTGCAGCTCTGATAACTTTAACAACGGTCTGAGCTTCTTCTGCAGCTCTGATGCCGTACCATATTACCCCCTCAAGTTGGAGTGTATATATCAAAAACACCCAACTTGCTGAGGGAAACAAACAAATCTTTGATGACAACACATATGATGTCTTCTTTGAAGCGTATTTTACAGCTTCTTTGATGACTAACCGCGCAATAATCAAAGTGTTGACCACAAGACCGATGGCCTTGTGATGACCAATAGGGGAGCAATAGTCAAAGTGATGACCAATAGGGGAGCTAAGATTGCTTGGGATGTGGTTTGCCAATCAAAAGAGTGTGGCGGTTTGGGTCTAAAGAGGTTGGCTTCTTGGAACAATGTGATGGCCCTGAAACTTATTTGGATGTTATTCTCTAAGGCTGGCTCACTTTGGGTTTCTTGGGTTAGACTTTTATTGATTGGACATCGCAATTTCTGGACTCTAAATCCACTCCGGAAGCTGGAACTGGAAGAAGCTATGCAAGTTGAGAGCTTTGGCTCGCCCTTTTGTGGTTTGTGAGATTGGTTCTGGACAAACCGCAAGCTTTTGGCATGACAACTAGACTGGTTTGGGTCCCCTCATTGTCCTTACTGGCTCTATTGGACCGCAGGTGGTGGGTCTGCCTTTGTCTTCCATGGTCAGAGATGCTATTAGGGGAAGGGATTGGTGGATCTCCTCTAGTAGTAGCAGAAACCCCATTATCTCCTTACTTAAAGACTCCTTTCCTGATGCTGAGAATATGGTTGATTGTTTGCATGATGATCTTTATCTGTGGAAGCCGGATCATCATGCACCATCAAACATTTTTTCAACGGCTAAGACTTGGACTGCGCTTAATCCCGATGGTGTTCCTGTCTCTTGGCACAAGTCAGTGTGGTTTAAAGATCATATTCCAAAGCATGCTTTCATATTCCAAAGCATGCTTTCATTTCTTGGAAGAGGTTACATACTAGAGATAGGCTGATTAGCTGGGGGATATATATCTCTCCTACTTGTGTCCTTTGCAATTCTTCCCTTGAATCTAGGGACCATTTGTTTTTCGAGTGTGGGTTCAGTCAGGCGGTCTGGAGCCATTTTACTACGAGGGCAAATCTCTTTCCGCCTACCCCCTTCATGGCTTGTCTTCTTTGGATCAAGTCTATTTCTCGGGACCCGGATATTGCTTTGATCATGAAGTTAATCTTCCAGGTCTCGATTTACCTCATCTGGAAGGAGCGTAATCTCCAGATTCATACCTCTATCTTCACTCCTCCTAGTGTTACCATTAAAGAGATCAAGCTGATTCTTCTTGCCAGGCTTGATCCCTTGTCTAGGAGCCAGAGGAGTGCCACCCCTGGAAACACCTTGCTATCATCTTGGTTCAGACTCTACAACTAAGGGTGAGTGTTCTTTCTTCTTTCCTGGCTGGCCTATGGCTTCCTTGTATGCTGTTTCTCCTTTCCTTGGCCCTGCGTGCCTTCTCTCGGCTTTTGCCTTGTATGTTTGGGCCTACGAGCCTTTTTCGGCTTTTGCCTTATATGTTTGGGCATGCGTGCTCTTTTTCGGCTTTTGCGCCTTGTATTTGCATTTTTTGGTTTTTAATGGAAATTTAAAGTAGAAAAAAAAATAATAATAAAAGACCGATGGCCTTCCACGAGTAGAATGAAGAAAATCCTAGCAGATCTTCGAGAATATACATAAAAGGAATAAACATGCTCCTCAAGTTTATCCTCTCCATATGTTGATTCAGAGAATATTTAGTGAATCTTCGAATCAACAACTACACCAAGAACGCGCCACGTCAGCTACTCGCTTCGTGAGCACGTCGCAGACTCCTGTGTCTTCAACATCAGCTTGCTGTTTCAAAGTCGAAACTTTGTAGAACCAAACAAACATCACAAACTCACGACGAGTTGTGGAAACACCAGAAACATAGACCTCTCAAGTACTCTTAAACGAACCAAACGAACGGAGCAGCAATCTGTTTGCGAAGCCCAAACCTTCCTTTGCCAACCACGAAGACGAACACGAACATCTGAGCCCAACAAGTAGTTGAGCCCGATAACGACTGGATGTCTTCCCCCCCTGAAGTTGGAAGTGTGTACATGAAGAACACCGAACTTGCTGAAACACCAACCTTTGCCAAGAACAGCGAGTTGGCGAAACACACCATCAAAACCCTGCATCGGAAACAACGGTCTAAGCCAAAACCTTAAAACACCAAGATTTACCACCAAGAT